AAGGGTGTACGTGCACACAGTGCGGATCCTGCAAGACCCATTCCAAGCAAACTCGTGTCCAGCAATATAGAAGAATCCAGTCGCTGCCACGGTATCCTGCCATTTTCCACTCACTCGAGCTCCGTGGTTACTTTTAATCCTTGTTCTCTACGTCTCCTGCGAACCATGGGCGTCACGTGGATAAGCTACCGCAAAAAGATGGAATTAGAAGCCATCTGAAAGAGCTCCAAAATAAATAAGAAGTCTTCATGTGTTGAGTTTTTGTAAGAAACTGATTTTATTTCATTCAAACCCTAGCTTATATAGCTAACATGAGAATGTACATTGTAGATCTTAGTTCTAGACCCACGCATCGGACAGTTCCCGATCGTGAGAAATATTCTAAGCGATAAGGGTGCACATGTCAACCCGATCGTAAATATCCTAAACAAACCCAGACCGCTCACAGGAGGTCATATTTCGGGTTACTTGTTACATAGGCTCAAGTGGCGGTTTCTTATAGCTATGCACACAAGTGTTAGACCGTGCACTGCGACAGAGATTTATTTAATGCTTAACAGATGCGTTCTTATCTATATACATACATATATACGTGTTCATGTGTGAACATTCTGCCAAGGGCCAGCAAGGTGAATTCAAATTTAGCGTCAACATAGAGACTACAAGAAAAGAAAACAAGCGGACTGTGTTGTCGATCTTATCAAAAATTTATGATCCCTTAGGATGGTTAGCTCCAGTAACCATAACTGGAAAACTTTTATACAGAGGCTTTGGCTTTCTGAGTATAGCTGGGATAAAGAATTGTCTGACGATGATGCCCATGAATGGGCAAGCTACAAAAATGAACTTTCGTCATTAGAAAAAATTAGGATACCAAGATGGATCCAAAAGAGAGTAGATTCGTGTGTTGAACTTCACGGGTTTGCCGACGCATCGGAAAAGGCTTATGCTGCAATAGTATATGCTAAGGTAGGAAGTTCAGTGACAATATTAGCTAGCAAGAGCAGAGTAAATCCGATCAAGAATAGGAAAACAATTCCGAAACTGGAGTTGTGTGCAGCACATCTACTGTACAAGCTTATTGAAAAAATTAGAGAATCGATTAACGATTCAGTAAAAATTTATGCATGGAGTGATTCGACTATAACTTTAGCTTGGATTAAGAGTGGTCAAAGCAAAGTCAAATTTATTAAACGAAGAACTGATGAAATTCGAAGAGGCACCGACATAAAATGGAATCACGTTAGATCAGAAGATAATCCAGCGGATGCTGCTTCTAGAGGAGTTTCCTCGAACGAGTTAGTAAATTTTGATCTTTGGTGGTATGGGCCAAGTTGGCTAAAGGAATCGCAAGAAAATTGGCCGCCTCAGCCAAATACCGAGGAAGAGGTTAGGGTCAATACCGTGCTTACAACGGATGACGATCGGATCTACAATCTGTTAGAAAAATATTCATCAATCCACAAATTGAAGCGAGTGATAAGTTACATCGTTAGATTTATCAATATGAAAACCAAAGGCATATCGTATCCATGTTTCTTAACGGTTAAAGAATTAAAGTATGCAGAACAAATAATTGTGCAAAAGGAACAGGAATTTCAATTTAGTCAGGAGCGCAACAGTTTGCTTAATAACAAAGAAATTAAAATTAATTCGAAAATTTTGAGTTTGCATCCATTCATTGATAAGGATGGAATTATCAGAGTAGGCTGAAGATTGCAGAATGCCAATGCTAGGTTTGAAGTTAAACATCCAATGATTCTAGATAAATGTGTCCATTGCTTCATTGATTATTGAGAATGCTCACAATGAGACCCTACATGGTGGAATAAATTTAATGAGAACTTATATCCAAAGAAAATATTGGATATTTGGCTTAAGAAATTCTTTAAAGAAAAAATTAAATGAATGTCCGAAATGTGCAAGATATCGAAAAATCACAGCAGAGCAGGTAATGGGGAATCTTCCAAAATATAGGGTAACAATGGCATACCCATTTTTAAATACCGGTGTTGATTACGCAGGACCGTTTTATATTAGATGTTAAAAAAATAGAGGTCAAAAAGTTTACAAAGGATATATAGCGGTATTTGTTTGTATGGCAACAAAGGCGATACATTTAGAAGTAGTAAGTGACTTAACTACTGATGCTTTTTTAGCAGCACTCAGAAGGTTTGTCGCAAGACGAGGAAAATGTGCTACGATTTATTCCGATAACGGAACAAATTTTGTAGGCGCAGCAAGAAAGTTGGACGAACAGTTGGCAAAGGCCATTAAGGAAAATTCCGCAGTCGCATCCTAACTAGGGAAAGAAGGAATTGAGTGGCATTTTATTCCGCCGGCAGGACCTCACTTTGGAGGTATCTGGGAGGCCGGGGTAAAATCAGTCAAATACCATCTGAAGCGGGTTATTGGTGACGGAAGCTTGACATACGAAGAGATGTCAACTTTGTTATGCCAGATAGAAGGAGTGTTAAACTCACGTCCTCTATATTTATCAGACAACGATATAGAAGACAATGAAGTTTTGACACCAGGACACTTTTTGATAGGACGACCACCGTTGGAAATAGTTGAACATATAGGAGACGATGAAAAAATTGGAAACCTAGACAGATGGAAATTCATTCAGAAGATGAAAAGAGATTTTTGGATAAAATGGAAGGAGGACTATTTGCAGACCCTTCAACAGAGATATAAATGGAAAAGGGATAAGCCCAACATAGAAGAGGGGCAAGTAGTCCTTATAAAAGATGAGAATTGTCATCCATCAAGATGGCCATTAGGGAAAATCGAACAAATACATAAAGGCAAAGATGAGAAAGTTCGTGTGGTTAGAGTTAAGATGCAAGATGCAAGCATTTCTCGGCCAATTAGTAAGATTTGCCCTCTTATCGGCATAAAGGCTGCCGAGAATAATAATGAAGAAGAAGAACCAAAAAGAATGACAAGGGGTGGATCTAAGATGTCCAAGCTTGGGGTGATAATGAGCATGCTAATTCTGATGCTATTTTGTCAGCTATCGGTTGCAGCACCCTTAGCAGAAAGCGCACCAAAGTACAATATAGAGAAAATAAATAAAACGTCAGCCATTTATCTAGATCCAATGGGCGATGTGGAAATAGTCACTTCATCGTGGAGTTTGGTAGTGTTCTATAATATGGACGCATATTTTCAAATGATTAGCAAAGGTAGTGCGCTAGTAACAAAAATGAGACGAGTATGTGAAAAACTGTATAGTTTCGAAGATCAGTGTAACCGTGTGTTAGATGATAGTTTAAAACATCTAACTGAGCTGCAAGAAAATAATAAACTGTTCATGGCTCATAGCACCCAAAGAACGAAACGCGCTCCGTTTGAATTCATGGGATCCTTATACCATATTCTATTTGAGATAATGGACGAAGATGATCGAGTACAAATGGAGCAGAATATGAGAAACTTGTTGGATAATCAACACAATCTCAAGGAATTAGGGAAGCAACAACTGTCTATAGTGGATTCGACCGCTAATATTTTGAAACAGACGAATGAGGAAGTAAATGAGAACTTCAGGTATATGAATAAGCGGATTGAGAATATGACGGCTGCACTTCAAGAAAGTTACTATGTGTACAAGGAGTCTACAAACTTCTTTATGTTGGCCAAGCAGTTGTCAAATTTGATTGAGGATTGTGAAAAAACGCAAGCAGGTATCATAAGCTTGTTGATTGATATAAATCATGGACATCTTAATACTAATATTGTTAGGCCCAGTCAGTTAAAAGATGAAATATCAAAGATAAAGGAAAGGTTGTCTGAAGCGCTAGTATTACCAGGAAAAAGAACTGGAACAGAGCTGAAAGAGGTATATACACTCTTGACTGCTCGAGGTCTTTTTGTAGACAAAAAATTGATAATAAATGTTAAGATCCCTCTATTTAGCAGACATCCATCAAAATTATATAAAGTTATTCCTGTACCGGTGTGGTCTGAAGAGAGTCTGCTTATGGTGAATTTGAAATCAGAATATTTAGTTTACAACTTTGAGATAGATTCATACCATTTGATGACAGCAAGCACTTTGAATAACTGCCAAAAGTGGCAGGCTCACAACAGAGTATGCGAAGGGAATTGGCCATGGAGTAATGCTAATGACATGGCATGTGAGCTAAGGCCACTCAAACCGGGTAGACCAGCTAACTGCATATACAGGCGAATGTTAGATACTAGCTCGTTTTGGGTTGAATTAGAAACTAAAAGCGCTTGGCTCTTTAAGGTTCATGCAAATGCTAAAGCAAGAATTCAATGCGGAAATTTAAAAATGGATTTAATTGATTTGCCAGAGGAAGGAATTTTAACGCTAAGGTCTGATTGCACAACTCGTACGGATGATAAAATCTTAGTGGCGCAATATAACTTAAAATCCGAAAGACAAGAGACTTTATCAGGAGCTTATATAGGGGACATCACGGACATACCGGAAATTATTTGGAGCCCACTCGAGACCAAGTACATAAATCATACGGTAGAAATTGATAGCCTTTCCAAGAAACTAAGACAGTTAAATGAAAGTCATATTGAATTAAAGGGGTTAAATGTGCATCACGTATCCGGTCATACCTCCTTAATTATATCCCTGCAGTACCATTCATCAACAATTCATCAACGTTTCATCAATAGCCGAAGGGGTGTTGTTGATGATTCATCGATGAATGGCCATACAAATTACTGATGAATTTAACATGGGCATGTCATAGGCATTCATCAACAACAATTCATCAACAATTAATCAACAATTCATCGATGAATTGTTGATGAATTACTGATGAAAGGCTGATGAATTGTTGATGATTCATCGATGAATTGTTGATGAATTGTTGATGAATAATTAACAATTCATCGATGAATCATCAACAATTCATCAACATTTCATCAGCCTTTCATCAACATTTCATCATCAATTCATCGATGAATTGTTGATGATTTTTTTTTTCATATATAAAAATAAAACTCTTAAATTTTTATTAATATTATTTATTCTAACTAATTCTATAACAAAACTAAAACACAAATATAAAAAATTAAGATTAAGCATCCATATATTAAGAGGCCTGAAGGTCTTTTTGATTCTTGGTGTTCCGCTTTTTATTCATGAAGACCAAATTTATTGCGCAGTATCTTCTCTGGAGGCTCAGTTTTAGTCACTTGGGAAATTGCATCTACAGAAAAAATTATAATTAATCAAGGGAAAATATATAATTTAATTAAATAAAATTACCCAATATATTGGCCATTACTGCAGTCTGAAAAGAAAATACATACATACATATATAAATATAATATATTAATATATTATATACATATAATAAATAAAATATTATATGTACATTTATAGGCTTCTATTTAATTAAGAACAATCTTTTTACTCACCATTTTTTATATTTCAATATGGCCCGGAACGTAATTATTGAATTATTTGATTTCTTAATATTTTTAACACACGACACTTCTGCAGTGGAGAACACTTCAACTTGTAATGCAAAGGGAATAAGAAGAAGCAAGACGAAACCGAAAGCCGAAGACCGAACATTTCTTTCCCCCTTCTTTCGCTCTATCACCATCTCTCTCTAATTTTCGGACAGTTGCGTTTCTTAGTTTGTTTCGGACTTCAATAAACGAAGCCCATGCAAATTGTTTTTGTTTTTTTTTTGACATGCACCAACAAATCGGACTCGAAGGGAGTTCGGGTATCCGAAGGGAGTTCGGGTTCAAGTAGCAGTCGGCAGAGCGTCGATTCTGTCGACGTCGCAGTCGGCGCGTTGATGAATTGTTGATGAAAAGGCCTATTGATGAAATGTGGTACTGCAGGGATGTCTAATAATTGTAATTATATTAATTATATATTCGGTACGAAAGTGTTCTATAAGCAGAAGATTACAAGCGGTAACCTTTGATGTCCGTGCACCAAATCTATAAAAGTTAAAATTGTAATTCATAAAAGTATGTTTGTATTTTTGAATTGTATTGTATGTTGTAAAATTTAAAATGAAATTAAAAGAAATGAAAATGTAATTGTATATTAAGCCATGATACAGAGGCCATTGTAAAATATTAGTTGCAAAATTAATAATATCGAAAAAATAAATACAGTCCACTTATGTTTTTATTGCAACTAATTTAAATGTACACCCACACCTTGCTGGCCCTTGGCAGAATTCTGCAGTACCATTCATCAACATTTCATCAACGTTTCATCAATAGCCGAAGCGTTTTGTTGATGATTCATCGATGAATTGGCATACAAATTACTGATGAATTTAACATGGGCATGTCATAGGCTGTCATCAACAGCAATTCATCAGTATTTCATCATTATTTCATCGATGAATTACTGATGAAATACTGATGAAAGGATGATGAAATACTATGAAATGTTGATGAAATACTGATGAAATGTTGATGAAATACTGATGAAATGTTGATGAAATACTGATGAAATGTTGATGAAATGTTGATGAAATACTGATGAAATGTTGATGATTCATCAACAAATCATCAATATTTCATCAGTATTTCCTCAACATTTCATCAGTATTTCATCAACATTTCATCAGTATTTCATCAACATTTCGTCAGTATTTCATCAACATTTCATCAACATTTGATCGATGAAATGATGATGATTCATCGATGAATTATTGATGATTTTTTTTTTCATATGTCAGGGATGGGGGGTCAATATTGTCCGCCATGGTCGTTTCCTTAAATTTGTACTAAGCGAAGTGAGTCGCAATGACTGAGTAGTCCGTCCGCTTTCCCTGACAGTCTCGCTGGAACTGACTTGCACTTTTCCCTTTCTCTACTTTCCTCGTCCTTCTCTACTCGTCATTGCGCCACACTCGGTAGGGAATACTCTCTTTCATCCCCACCACGCTCTTTCTTAATAAGTTCTCTTCCTTTTCTCTCGTTACTTATTTTACTCTTCATTTATTTCTATATTCGATACACTTAGAGTCTTATAAATAGTAATTACATCTGACATTTCAAAGTAATCTCCGACACGGCCTTCCTGACTATAACACGACCTCGTGTTGCTTAGTGCTACATAAAATTGGCCTTCAAACTTCATTGCTATATCTTTACAATAGTCATAACTGCTCTAAGTAACTCTTCAAAACCAATCATCTTACACTTCTAGTGTCTTCAAACCTTGGTTTGGCGGGATAATCTTTCACGACCATAGAGTACACGCTCTCTTCCGCACAAACCCAACAGTTTGGATATCAATTTTGCATTCCATCAGACATTAACTTAGCAGGATATTCCTTAACACACCGTTTAGAGTACGCGCTCTCTTCTGCTCAAGTTCAATCGTCTGGCTACCACTGTACCAAACTCTTGCCAGGCTCTTGCTGCACACTTTGCAACGCTCACACGCACCTTTTGTGTCACGGTCTCTCTGGACCCTCATAGCCTTATATTCCACCAACGAGTGCCTCAATCGGCGATCTCTCGCTTACACTTCCAGTGTCTTCAAATGTTAGTTTGGCAGGATAATCTTTCACGACCATAGAGTACATGCTCTCTTCTGCACAAACCCAACAGTTTGGATATCCATCAGACATTAACTTAGCAGGCTATTCCTTAACACATCAATTAGAGTACACGCTCTCTTCTGCTCAAGTTCAATCGTCTGGCTACCACACACACATACCACAGTACCGGACTCTTGCCGCACCTTAGCGACGCTTCACACAATCATTCAAATTTAGTCCCTGTGTATGGCACCACCTCAACCATCTTAAAATAGAGATCTCTTGCTTTGATTTTATGATACCTACGAGTGCCTCAGTCGGCGATCTCTCGCATTCATCTGCATAAACCTCAACAGGCATCGCAGGCAACTACTTAAAATTTCGCTTACTCGACAAATATCTCAAAACATATCGGCCACCATCAAGCTTTTCTATAATGACAAAGGGTCCTCTTCGGATCCAGCTCTGTTTGGTGCCGTTCTTCATCTTAATTTTCCATCTTCATTCCTTTATCCTTTTTTTTTCTTTCCTTTCTGATTCTTAACAACTCTTCCATTTTAAATTGATCTTGCCTTCAATCTTAGTGCTCTTCCTTTTGCACCATTTTACCGACAGCTCAGCATAACACAACTTTAAACTTTTCTTTGTCTATACTTTTCTCTGTGTCAAGTGGTGGTATCAAGCCCAGAGGATGGGTCCAATTGGCATCTCGTAAGGGCTTGCATTGGTTGCACTACTAACTGTGCAGTTCGCCGCAAGTTGCACCCTGCCAAGAGCATCTTGCCATTACCTCTGATGTCCTGGTATCCAGCCAGATGACTACTTTAGAGCTTTACACATTATACAACATTCAACAATCTTTAAACTTAGTCATTTCCAACAACATTGATAAATCTTACTGAGTCTATTTTTTTTTCAACCCAAATACATAACGAATTTATAACTTTGATTAATAATCAACCAACAAAATTTAAGGGACACTACTGGCAGACAACACTACCTCACACCTCTCTGTATTTTTTTTAAAACCCCTCTTTGTAACTCAATTTAATTTCAATTATCTTTAGTTGTTTATAAACTATATCAATAAATCCTGAAATCAGTCACGTGAATTCTGGACACAAAAATAAATCCACATACTATATTTTAAAATCATATGATTTTAAGTATGGCCACCGATGATGCACTTAATTTCAATTATTTCCGCAATGATTACATTTGCAGTCAGTATAGACTACGAACTCTCATCTGAGCAAATAATGCCAAAAATGTTAGAATAATAGTACGCCAACCAATGTTTCCAATTCATATGAAGGCTACTTGGACTCCACAAGACACATAGTTCTACCAATATACTTCACCAACATAAGGGTCTCCATTAATTAATTAATTATTAGTATTGAAACATATCCACAAGAGCTTACACCTGTCAACTAAATAACGATTACAGGCTCACTTGTAATAGCACTAAAAGACGTTCGTTGTAATTTCTGAAAATCGTAATTTCACGTAAAGGTACTTGAAGTTAAAGAATCGGTTTCCCAATTTGAGAAAATCGAGACACAAATTTTTAAAAATAAGACGCCAATTCAATAAATGGTCTTACGCCTAATTACACCGATTGAAAGGACGAATTTTTAACGTAAGAACTTTCTAGGAATTGGGTCTGATTTCTCTACCGCGCACCTCATAGCCCAGACACTGCGTAGTAGGTTCGAGAAACCCACATTTGGCAACGTTAAATGAAAACCCTGGTACAGTCAACATATAATACAATTTTCAGTCCTCGGGAAGCCTAATCTTCCGAGTCTGCCATGACCAACACGTCATCCATGCAAACCATCGCAAACAATTATGCTAAACCCCAAAAGCTTTAACAATTTCATCATAAATATAGGAGACGCATTCTTCAGTTCAAGCTGCACTGCTAAAGATTCATATTGACCCTCCGTGGTCACAAACACAGTTCTTTCTATCGAATCTGAAATCAATGGCAAGGGACATCTATCAGATACTGTATTTGTGTGTAGTTCTTTATAATCAATGCACAATCTATCACTACCATCCATTTATTTATTTATTTTTTTTTTTTAACCATTAACATTGGGCTAGCGAAAGGAGAACAACTAGGACTTATTAATTTTGCTTCCAACATTTGCTGAATTTTCTCCCTTACTATTTGCTTCTCGTTCTCACTAAAGCGATACATCGTCTCTGAACCGTTTCATTTATGTTTTATTTATTTACAGTTTGAGTTCTAGAAATATCGAATTTGCTACTTTCTAAAATAACTCCAAAACCACGTTGAAAAAATATCTTGTCCAATTATCATGTCATATTTAAGGCAATTTTCATCAACTACGTGAAACAACAATTCAAATTTAAATCCTGAAATTTGTACGGTGGACAGAATTTGCTTATTGCTTTTGACAACATTGTCACCTATGCCTCTCAACACTACCAGATTATGGCATCTCTTTCCGGCAAGATTCTCGCTGATGCTTTCTTTCACCAACGAGCATTCGGAACCCGAATCGAAGAAAAATGGAAACCGCTCACCAGATTGTATTGCAGTTCCCTTAGGCTGAAGTACCGCACACATGTCCACTCTCTTCTCGATGTTTATATTCGCTGTTGCTGTCCCCTTAGTACACACTGATGCAATATGACCAATGTTGCCACACCTATAACATCTCACGGCTTGTCTGCTGTTGCTGAGGGCTGTTCTCGTCTCATTTCTTTCCTCTGCTTTTCTCTTGCGGCACTCCATTGCTTTGTGTCCAAGTTTTCCACAACTATGGCATTTT